TACTGCTACTGCTACTGCTACTACTACTACTACTACTACCACTACTACTACTACTTCTCCTGCTGCTGCTACTACTACTACTACAACAACAACTACTACTACTACTACTACTACTTCTCCTGCTACTACTACTACTCCTACTCCTGCTACTACTACTACTACTACTACTCCTGCTGCTGCTGCTGCTACTACTACTCCTAATCCTACTCCTACTGCTATTGCTACTGTTACTGCTTCAGCTACTGCTACTGCTGCTGCTACTGCTGCTGCTGCTACTGCCGCTGCTGCTGCTACTGCCGCTGCTGCTGCTACTGCTGCTGCTGCTGCTGCTGCTACCACCACCCCCACCACTCCTCCTCCTCCTCCTCCCACTCCCACTGCCACTGCTACTTCTGCTGCTACTGCTACTACCACGACGACAACTACTCCTACTCCTACCCTGCCACCGCTGTGGCCACTGCTACCACCAGCAGCACTACAGGGTTAGACTAGGTCTCGAGGGCGTGGTTCATGGGCCTGATTCATGAATTAAGGTTTCTGGCTGTAGACTTCAAGGTCAGTGCCATTATATTACTATTGTTAATGGTTTTCTTAGTATTATTAGTATTGTTATTATTCTTCAAGGTTGCTGGGCTCTAAGGAGTGCTCGGGCTTTCGGCTCGGCGCCATTAGGTTTCGGGTCGCCGGGGGCGACAAACGTCGGCCTCAGGAATTCCATGCCCGAAGCCTAGACCTGAACACCAAACTCTCAGCGCCAAAAACGGCAACCTAAAGCAACTAGGTAACTAAGTCCTGGTGCCGTAAATCCCTCAACCTCCAACCTCAAACATGACACCCCAAGTCCTAAACTCATGTCCCAACACCTCAAACGCAGAACCCTGAACCGCAAACCCAATACCGGTAACATAGAATTCGAAAACCCTAAAGCTCTAAACTCTAAGCGTCTTCGGTCCTCGGCCAAACAGATCAAGCTCTCCAAGCCATTGAAAACCTGGGGCGGTTTTAACTTCGGCGGCCTCGGGGCGCTGTCTTAAGGTTTTAGGGGACTTTAAAGTTTGGATATAACTAGGTGTTCGAGTTTCAGAGCTCTGATGGCATTCAGGGTTTACGGTTCAGGGCCCATCACTGAACAGGTTTAGGGTTCCGAGCCTTCAGCATGTAGAGGTTGGGTCTTTAGCAGCCAAGGCCCGGAACCCTCAACTTAAGCCCCTGGGCTTTAGGGTCTCGGGGTTCTTCCTACTCCACATCCTGCCCTTGCAATGCAGGCAGGGGGCGTACGTCATGGGCGGTAGCAGCACCACCTCCAAGGCTGGCGATTGCCCCGGGCATCTAGGGACTGGTGCGAGGTTAGGAGCTTTAATTGTCAATGCAGTCAACACAAGGTTCAGGTCTTCGGACTTCAGCATGAAAACCACTGCTGAGAGCAAACATGTGATGACAGCGATATCAGAAGCAATGCAGCACCAAGGGCAACAATGCTAGTGCTGCCTTAGCATTAACGTGTAAGTGGAACAAGTCTTTGCTGCTGCATGGTGCGTTGACGAGCTGGACGAGGAATCCTACTGCTGCTCTGCTGCCGCTGTCGCTGTGCCTTGTCCTCCTGCTCCTGCTCTTCCTCCTACTAGTATCACGACAACGACTCCATGTTTGTAGCACTAGCAGCTATAGCACAAGTGCTACTCTATTCATGACTGCAGTCATGACTCTCCGTACTGCGAACATGTAAGTATGGTTGCTGACTGTGAAGAGTTGAGACTTTAAAGTAGCATGGATCCCTTCATACACCTGTATCTTTCATAGACAAGCTCCCAGCAGAAGCTTTCCTCAAGCCTCAAAGTCACTACCCTCAGCCCTAGTCCACATATCCTGAACCTGGTAAACCCGAAACGTAACAAAACCAACTTCCAAAAACCTCGACCGGACAGCCGAAAACCCAATTACAGTAGTCTGAAGCAATCAGTGTCACGTCACCTTGTAGTCCCCACATTATATATAACTCATTCATTACACACACCTCAAAGCTCTCGCCCATTTCTTAAAGCTCCTATCAGTACAATACGTACCATAGACTCGAGACGATAAGCGGGAAATCTACAAGCCCACAAGCACATGCAATAAACCGTAAACCCGAAGCCCGTAACCCCTCAACCCTAAAGCCAGAGCAAGAAACTCTACCATAACAACCCCAAGCCGACCGGCGCCTCGTTTTCTGGGAAGGCCACGTATCCAATGGGGATTGCCGTGCCCAGTGCGAAGAGGAGGTCTCGGAAAGACCATCCTGCGTAGAATGGGATTTTGATCAAAGTTACAGGGCTAAGGCTATATACGGTGTTACAGGGTCTGATATGGCCTTAGATGGTTTTAGAAGGGATCCATTTATAGAGTTCTATAAGGGGCCCTAATCAGGGTTCGGATAAAACATAATTGAAGCATAATACTTAGTAGGGAACAACCCTAAGGAATAGTGTTACAAAATCTTCAGGCCCACGTTTTAGGGATCTCGGGTCTAGGGTGCAGGATTTAAGCAACTAGGGGTTGGGGTTCTGGGTGTTGGGCTACGCTTCAATGGATGGACAATAGGAACCCAGGCCCATTACGCGACAGACTATGAGGCTACACAACAACATGCACCCTATGCCCTGGATCCTGGTCTTAGGGGCATTAGGGCCGAACGCCGCGGTGACGATGGCGGCGGCGGCAGTGCTGCTTCTGTTGCCGCTGGTGTTGATACGGATGATGATGACAACGACAAAGACAATGACAGCAATGATGACGTGGATGATGTTCCAGCCCCAACTCAAGTCCAAATACCAGGAATGATGCTAGAAATGTTTGTGGACGAGTCTTGCAGGCAATGGGACTGAAAGACTTTCGGCATCCTGACTCAGAAACCGGTTGCAAACCCTAAACCCAGAAACCCTGAACCACGCTGCAAAAGCCTTCACCCCAAGGTCCCGAAACCCTAAACTCAAAAAACATAAATAAACACGACAGCTTTCCAGAGCCATAACACCTTAAACTCCAAAGCGTCCAAAACCTATTATCCGACAATTTCCAGAATAACCAACCCTTCATCATTCCTATAGTTCTGGGGGGGAGTTAGGGTAATGAAGGAGCTTGTTCCTGACTACCCGAAACCTTAAAAGTTACCCCCCGGAGCCCCGGCCGAACCTTGGAGACCTTCCACGTCGGCGATGTAGAACCTGAGAGTCAAAAGAAAGGTTCGTTTGTCGCTGAGGGCCATCTTGGTTTGTTCGAGTTTGGGGATGTGGGGTGTAGGGCTCTGGGTGTGTGGGGCTAGACTGGCTAGACAGTTTCGATCAAAGCATGCTTTTCATTCAGATGAGCAGTGCTGCTCTGGTTTCGAGTCTGTGCTGGCACCGTGTGGAACCTTATGGTTCTGGACCAGTGATTCAGAAACAAAATCCCAAATCGACCCAGCCTCCACCCAGAGCCTCGCGCCTCCGAGGGCCTTTGAACTGCCCCCCCCCTGGAGAGGTTTGGCAGTGCCTGTGTTTGCATGCTTTCAAGGTCTGGTTAGGTGAGCATGGCTGGTGCACACTCACTTGCTCCTAACATGGCATGTCAAAATTGTAGCACTTCACTGTATGCGCAACCCAGGTACAGAGCGCTGAAAACCGAGCGAAACGAAACTATGCAGCTCAGGAAAAGAGCGCTTCTGCCTGGGATTGCGCGTGCCGAATGCAGCTCCGTCTGCGCGGACCCGCTGTCTGCCATGAAGGAGTGCATGGTAATGTAGACCCCTGATGATTTAACAATCAAGGGCATGCACGTCAAGATTCTTCCTACACTTTCGTAGAAAGCCCATGTTCGTCACATCTCAGCGGCAAGGCTTGCATGCCCTTTCCACGCACCAGCCGGCGGCTCCTTGGATGCCCCACCTCGGTCGAGCCGTACCCGGAGCCATACTTCAATCAACTCCTAAGCGCCAAAGCCCAGATCCCCATAAGAGAACGGCAAAGAACTCAACCTCACGCTTGGGCTTGGAGTTGTTTCAAGCTGTGGGATGATAGGTTGAAGGATGTGGAAGGAATCCTAAACCCTAAAACCCAACATCGTACGCACAGAACGGGCCCCTCAACCCGAAAACAAAAGGCCACAAAACAGCCCTGAACCCAAAGAGGACTTCCCTGAACCTCTAGACCCTATCATTCTTGCACCCGCAAGATCCTGAAACTCAAGGCCACAGCTCAGCCCAAACACTACTCCGTAGCTCCAACACAGCTTGCATTCCTCATTCCCTAAACCGGATATTCCTGAAGAGCCGAACCCTGGAACTTCCTAAACCCTAAAAATCCCTAAACCCTTGTTGAAAAATCGAGGGTTTAAGCTTTAACGTACCCCCTAATATGTTCCAAGCAACACCCGCCCCCTCCCCCCTTACAGAGAAACCTGAACTCTGCAGATCCAAGACACAGCCTGAACTTCAGGCACTTCACGCCACAGCGGCAGTTTGCACAGCAGCTCGTGCTGGATTTCGCCGTCGGCGTCTCCCTGAGCATTGCCACGGACAGAGTTTGGGGCTTGGGGGGGGTCGGGGAGGCTTTTTTTTGGCTTACGGTTCACCCAACAGCCATCATTAAACCCCGAAGACGACAACCCCCCAAAAGCGCCCTGAAGTCCTTAATCCAGAATCTCTCAATTCGGTAGCTTCACTCGAGCTGAGCTCTGGCTTTCGTAGCGAAAGCTGCAGGCAGCTGTGCAAGCCGAGCAAACGAGTTGCGAAATCACCCGAACACTCCGAGCTGGTGCTATGCACAGTGGGGTTTAGGGCTTAGGGGTTTGGGTTCAAGGTTTAGGGATGTTTTATGTCTGGGTTGAAGATTTGCAAAGTGCTTAAGTGTTAAGGATGTAGGATAGCAGCGGCATGCACTAGTCATAGGTATAACGATAACGGCAGCTACTATAGTAGCATCGCGATGGATCCGAAATTCGAAAGCCCCGCCTCGCGCAACTGCGGCAAGCGGAACCCGATGCATCAGATCCGCACTGACAGTAAGCGAGATTGCTCCCAGGCACCGTCGCACCTGCTCCGGGTTTCCGCTATCCGGTAACATTACCCACAGGCGCTCGCTACATCTCCTTCCGAAGCCCATCACATACCAGTACCATGTGAGGATTAAACCTTCGAGTTGCGGCATAGGGTTTCATGTCGCGAAAGAATGCTACGAACACAACCCTAAGTAACCCCTACAGACGCGAAAAGATGAATTTACAGGACCTCAAAGTTAACCGTAAACACCCCCACGGCATGCTTTCGGGCCTTCCCACTCCCTGGAGTTCTCAGAGAGCAATGCGAAGAAATCGGCCTGAAACTTCATGGCATTGTCCTCCTCGCAAGGGTTTAGGGGTTTAGGATGGTTTGGTGCCCTCGAAGAGGGATCCTGCTATCAAATTTTGTATCTTAGGTCCCTTGATTTCCGAGACTCCGAAGCATCTTCTACTTGGGGCAAAGCATGTGCACAAGGGGGGATTCTA